CGAACACGATGGTCGACGCGGTCGTCGTCATGTCGAACACGATGGTCGTTGTGTTGAACACGATCATCGTCGTGTTGAACACGATCGTCGTTGTGGTCGTCCTGTCGAACACGATGGGCGTCGTGTCGAACACGATCGTCGTCGGGTCGAACACGATTGCCATCGTGTCGAACACGACCGTCGTCGTTTCCGGCTCGTTGAACACGATCATCGCTGTGTCGTGCACGGCCGTCGTCGTATCGAGCACGGCCATCATCGTGTCCGACACGATGGTCGTCGGGTCCGCCGAGATGGTCGTCGGGTCGGACACGATGGTCGTCGTGACGAGCACGGTGGTCGTCGTGTCCGCCACAGTCGAACACGATCTTGGTCGTGCCGAACACCATCACGGTCGTGTTGAACACCCTGCTCTTTTTCGCCACGACCCCCATATTCGTTTCGACTTGCACAGAGTTTAGTGCGAGTTGCGCCAGCAGAACATAGTACCCGGGTGACTGTCTTCTGTCTATTGTAGCACTGACTGCTTGTTGTGAGATTGCGATAATATACAATGGCCACTGTCGTGTTGGGTGCGACATTGGCGTTGCCGCAGGCCTGCTCAGCCTGGGTTTCTGGAAACCCGTCGTGCGCCGCCAAACGAACTCTGCGCGAATTTTGCTTCGAGTCCTCGGAGTGTGGTACCCGGGAATCAAGACGGGGAACCCTTCCGTGTTGGGCGAGGAGGTCGCGTTGCCACGATGGTTTTCCTGCTCACTTGTGGCAGTTTTTCTGCCCTTTCTGCGTGGGTGGTGAGTGCCACGCGTGCCGGGAATCAAGACGGGGGACCCTTCCGTGTTGGGCGAGGCGGTCTCGTTGCCACGACCATTTTTCTGCTCACTCGTGGCAGTTTTTCTGCTCGCTCCAGTCACTGTAGTTCATGGAGTAATATAGAATTTTTCCTATCAATGCCCTCGTCTCAAGCTGTGTGCTGCGCGCCAGAGTCTTCGTCATTCCGCTGTTGGTGCCCGCTGGGTTTTGCTCGTCGTGGTCTCTGCCTTTCCGAAGCTGGTGCCCGATGTGACATGTGCTGCGTTTCCTGTTGCGCGTCAAGATCTCCGCCTTTTCAATGCTGTTGCACTCTGTGTTTTCCATTGTTGGTGCCCCGACTTGACATGTGCTACGCTTCCTACTGTCATTCGATCTCCAACTTGGACAGACTCTTTCACGCGTATTGCTCCTTTGGCACGGATTGGGCCTAATGACTGGATTGCTACCCAAATTCCACGATCGTATCTTATCCTCTCTTAGATGTTTCCTGTTCCCCTCCGTCCAGTGTAGGGCTGTGTTTCTCAGGGTCATTTGTAGGGTTGTGTTTCTCGCTGTTGTGTAGGGATGATTGTCTGCTCCATTTCATTGACCTCTGATTTTCGCCTTTGACAGTGGTTCGTTGTTTTGTTGTCGCAGACACGTCTCGTGCATGACTTATGGTGTGCATGCTATGCCACGGCAGGCTTGCAACACAACCTTGGAAAGCATGGACTGTGTGGCGTCTAATACAATGCTCAATGAGGATTTTCCTTCACCGCACCTGCCAATGTGTTCACAAGATGTTCGAAGTGGTCACAAACGTGTCGATAATGCTCCGGAATCTCCTGCTCATAAAAGGTCACGAAATATTGCGTGTGCGGATACTACATGTGAAAGTGCGTATCCCGTCCTTCGATGCCCGGTTCGAACCTATGATGCAGAGAGTGTTGAAGGTCAGGAGGATAAGGCCTCCTCTACTGACAGCGACGCGTCCGATGTAGATCGTGTTGTATGGGTGTCGAGGAATTCACTTCGAGATTTCGAGTACACAAGTCTTCTATTTGGTGACAGTGATGAAGGTGGTTCAGATTCAAGTGTTTCAGTGTCGTCTAGTGGTGATAGTTCTCCAGATAAAACCGATCATCCGCAAACGTACGCTGACCGGAACAGTGACCACTGTTGTCGAAATGACGATGAGAATTGTGACGTGATCTCTGATTTCGATGACATTTTTTCAAAACGTCTGTCCTCAGAGAAGCGTCCTTATACTTTTTGTCTTAGAATGTCGCGGTCAAAGAAGATTCTGCAATCAGTTCATAGAAAACTCAAAAAAAAAACACTGGCGAGTGTGCGTGGGCAGGTTTATTGTAAGTGAGAGTGTTGCGCTCAAACGACCCTGGACGACATCAAAGCTGTCCGGAGCGCATACTACTCTAAGAATCTGCATAGCAGGGATGCATGGTGGGTTGAAACGTTGAAGAGGTTCACCTTCATAGAAGATGAAAAGGGAATTGTTCAACCCATTGTGGGGAGACGAAAGGTGTGCATTAGTGCTTGGTGTTTCACACTAGGTGTATGTAGGAATCTATTTCTCAAAAAAAGGATGACTTTGTCAAAAGGCTACATTATGCCGGAGCATGGCAGTACTGGACTCAGATGCACATCAGCAACATATGCGACGATGTACGGGAAACTAAGTTCCTTCGTGCGAGAAAACGGAGATTCCCTGCCCAATGACATGAAGATCAAAGAGGGGGAATCGAGAGTGGTGTTAAAATTGTCTGCTTGCTATAACAAGGTTGATATTTATAAGTTGCTAGAGTCGCAATTCGACAACATGGGTGCTCCTTGTGTTTCTCTCCAAGTTTTCTACAACATGTGGAGAACGCAGTTCTGGCATGTGAAATTCCATGACATTGATCAAAACTTTACGAAATGCGAGAAATGTGTCGAATACAAAGAATCTATCAATTCCGCAAAGTTTGTACGTGTGCATGAGTACTTTGTTTCTTTACACGAGAAACACTTGGACTTGCAGCTCCAACATCGTGTTGCGTATGAGGTGTGGAAGGATGAGTCGAAGAGACTGGGTTCCAACAGTTTGTGCATCATCATTGACGGCATGGACCGAAGCAAGACCAGCATTCCACACTTTGGCGGAGAGAACAAATCGAAGGCATTCGCAAATATTCCGATGTTGAAAACGAATCTAACAGCTATTATTGCACACGGCCGCTCACCATCGGTCCATGTTCACACATGGTACCCTTGCTATCCACATGATTCTAATGCTGTAGTGTCATCCATTATGAAAGTTCTCCACGACATCCAGGCGACGAGCGACTTGCCTCCTAAACTGAGGATACAAACTGACAACTGTTGGAGAGAAAACAAAAACTGATACGTTTTGGCACTCTCTGCAGCTTTGGTGAAATTTGGCTTCTTCAAAGAATTCGAATTCGGTTTTATGTTAGTGGGACACACACATACGAACGTTGATGCCACTTTCAGTCATTTCTCCCGCAAACTGAAAATGCACGAGGCATATACCATGCTCGACCTCTTCAAGCTCGTTGCCGGTTCTCAAAAAGAACGTTCATCGTGCACATTCATGGATGAAATTGCTGATTGGCGAGCTGCTGTTAAGCCCTTCCTGGTCAAGAGACTGACCGGTCATACTCATCGACATGCATTTAGGTTTTATATGCAGGATGACAATCCTGTGTTCCAGTGGAAAGAGTATTGCACTTCTCATGAATGGTCTGCTCCAGTATATTGCTTTAAACGAGATGGAAACAAAGCATATGCTGGACCCGAATGGCCATTCGTGTCATCGCCTGTTCCACCGTTAGCTTCTCTGCCTACTAAAGATAAGAATTTGAATTTCGAATCGGGAGTTAAAGGTGTGAAGACGTTTGTTGGGTGGTTGGAGAACAAGCAGCACGAGTGGTTGGGAATGAAAGATGAGGTTAACTTCTCAAAAAAGAGTGTTTTTTCACACTGAAAAACTTTCCTCGAGACAGTCGAGGAGCATTATGGGTCTGGGTTTGCGAAAACTTCACTCAAGGCTGACTTCTGGCCCTCACAAGACAAAATTAAAAAGGATGATCCAGATGATATTGATATTGCCTTCCTCTTGAAGAGCAATGAGAATAAGGAGCCGTTGTTCGTTGGACCGGCCAATGAGCGTCCAAAGGCGGAGCTCAACCAAGTTGTGGATGTCGAAAAATATCAATTCGTTCTCTTGCGTCCTTCCCAAGATGATATCGATGAGGGAGTTTCTGTATGGATGGGTACAGTCATTTCCGATGTAGACAACAATATGAAATCGTCAATTTTCAATCATATTCTTATTGAATATTGGGTGTCACAATCTATTGCTAAACGTCTTTCTATGCAATATTCGAACGCATGGAAGAAGACGTGAAAGAAAGACAACACAACATCACAGTAGTGGCAGCATGTAGACTGTGTTGTGTGGAGCTGGACATCAAAGACATTGCATTTGGAAAATGGAGTGCACATTCCAAAATCGGTCAGGGAGAAGGCCTTGGTATGCCTTTCACTTCCCGATAATGAAGATCGGTAGGTTTTAAATAGGTTTTGAAGAAGAGGTAATTGTATTTCTTTACACGTATTAGTACGTTATTTAGTTGTCACTGAGCTTTCATTTATATATATTTAAATTGTATTTTCATGTGTTGCAGAATGGTTCAACCATTTGTGACGACTGGATGACCGCCAAGTAACATGGTGTGGGGAAGAAATATATGGCATGATATGGATCCAGTTTTCTTCACATCTGAAGTGATATTTGACAGTACAGTACTCAGTGTTAGGGGTGTGGATGCCCCACTAGAAGACTGGGAACATTCTCCTCAAGAGTCACTGTATATTTGTGGTCGCAGGTGTGATGGAACAAGAACATACCCGCGAGAAGTGCTCGCACCCTTTTCGGAATTGTATTATTCAACAGTCAAATTCTGCCACAACAATTTCAACGTGATGACCTTGTTTTGTGCAGCGGCAACTGTTCGAGGTCGATGCAAAGTATCTTTCTTTATTCATAATGACTATTCTGCAAGTGCAAGTGTTTCCAATGCAGACAACATCGATGAACGACGACAGCAAGAATTCCGAAGGAGGATCATGGAGCAACCATCACTCAAAACACTCATGGATGGGCTTGTGGACACGGCCATCAAATATTTGCGAAGTCTCCTGCTGTACGAATATGAAGTAATAGAAAGTTATATAGAGTACAAGGACCCGGTGTTTGACGGACAAACTGATACTATCATTGTAGAAGATTGCACAACTTATACAAGGACAGACTGAAATGTTGTCTTGATCGCATTAGTTTATTCCGTTGTCGATCTAGTTACTAGGTTTGTTTTGCCTATTTTTTTAGTGTCATTTGTGTTTTGCATTTAATTATTTTTTTTCTCTTACTCGGTCAATGGCCTTGAGACATCATCTAAGTTCGAATAGCCCACTCCTACATTAATATAAAGTTATTTGGTTATCCGAGTTCAGTGGGATTCGAACTAAGGTTTGCGTTTTGACAGTTTATGGGTGACACTGCTTTCAAATTGCTTTTAATATTGAACTTTTGCACGTGTTTTCATTTAATTGTGTTGTTGTACTTAAGCAGAATTTTTGTACGTGTGTTTGGAGTGTCCGCTGCACTTTGCTGTCAAATATTAATAGATCTTTAAATTTTTTTCTAAGGTCACATGCAAGGTTTTTCTGTTCTTTCACGTAATCCTTTAAGTTCAAGGAACATCAGATTCCGAACTGATTGAAATATTGTCAAGTTGAACTTTATCCGATACTCACTGAGTCTCACATTTTGCAATATGTGTCCATATTGTGTAAGCTTGGTTTTATAATTAATATAATAAATTGAAATTATATGACTTCTTGGATTTTGCGATAGAATGGATGTATTCATGTTATGAAAGGTTGGGATAATATACAATAGTTGACTCATGAAACTTGTATTGATGCAGATATGCGACTTTCTTTAAAAATATAATCATGGATAGGTGACTAATGAAACTTGTATTGATGCGGATATGCAATTTTCTTTTCAATACTTGATTATACAATATTTGTCAATAAGATGCTAAAATCCTCTGCTCTTATTGTTAAATTACTTTTGTTCTGGCAAATTTGTTAATTTTATTATGTTCACTTTTTACAAAACATTTCATTTTTAACGAAAACACCATTGTAGACTGGTAGAGGCAATCTCATGTGAGATGTATGATTCAACGTACCTATCAAAGTAAAGGCATGTCTGCATGATATTCTTTTGCTCTTGTATTCCGCTGTAAGTTCTGGTTTTGGCGGAGCTAGTTCTTCTTATGATTAGGTAGGATAGACTCCGACATCGCCATATGCATGATCACTTCTTGCGTTGTCATGTTGATTCCCTTCCTGGCCGTTTCAGGGACGGATAAGGGTTGCGGTAGAGTGCCTCATAGGACAAATAAGAATTGTCGACAGATTTGCTCTGCGAATAATGACACACTGATAGGGGAGCTGCTAAAGCTGGTGGGGCAGTTTATAGTAAGGTTGCTGGAGGGTGGCGACGTATGAACGTGATTAGCTGCTCGGCATCCTGTTTTTTTTACTTCATCAGGCTTTTTCTACATAGCATTGTCTATGATCCGCATGATGTTCAGTCAAAAAAAAAAATTCTCATGGGGGGTCTTTCATGGATATGGTGATCTTCGTGGTTTTCTCTAATATGCTTGCGATTTTTCTTGAAATCATGATTCTCGGTTTGAACAAGTTGTTCTGCAAAATGACCAATGGCATGTTGTCCTTTAATGAAAAGCAGGCTATGTATGTAAGATGTACGTTCCTCCATTCTTTATTGGGTTGCAGCGAAAAAAAACTTGAGATAGCCCACCGGGCTGTTGTTTTACGGAGTCATAGCATGCATGTTATGCGTACAGTATGATACACACACATGGAGCTTGCTCCTGGGCGTTGTTTTCGAGGTCGAATCCTTGAAAATACCCCGGTTATCGCTACCTCTCCCTACATGTTTTCGCTCCCCGAATATGTGACCTTCTCTTAATGGATGGTTAGTTTTGGGGACGTATCTAAAATCATTCCGCTTTTTATCATAAAAATCCCAATATGTTGTGGTCTTACCTTAAAAATTTGGGATGACCCTCAAAGATGTGTTGCTCT